CCTTTATAGTAATTCTTCTCACAAACGTTTTGGACAATACAATAGTACTTAGCTAATTACTTGGTGGTTGGTTTACTAATTATAATTACCATGCGCTTCTATTATGCTACGTATATTCATTTGTGGGAATAAGAAGCAGAAAGTTTTGTTTTATTTTTCAGCATCTTCAGTCCCGCGAAAGAGCGTATCAACACTGCATGTACATAGATAGGAGATTTTAGAATTTAATTGAGTGTAGTAAAGAGTATAAACTACTACCAAACTAATGCTTTCAGTATTTTTGATAAGAAGTATTTTATAAACAGTATGGCAGAGCTAACTGTATATACGAGGAATGAACCGCGTAACTGCAAGAGTGCTCATGTTACAAATTTCTGGTTGATCTTGAGGACCAGTTAGCTTCCGACTTTCGAAAGTGTTTTCCCCCATTTATGTATCGTTGAAGGCGAGACCCACAGAGCCAGTTCTCGGTGGAAGCACCCACTGAATTCAAGAATCTTATAGCATACGTAATGTAATGCATAAGTTATTTGACGCATATATGTATCTTCTTTTCGATAAAGTAGATTTATGGGAACTATAGCCAACCAGCTCACGCTAGCCAAAACAATCACAGTAATACGTCATTTGCTTTCTAGCGACCCGTAGCATCGGGAAGACCTACATTTGTTAAAGATGGCTATCTTTCACGGAATAATTAGTATTACAGTGTCATGTTGCAAAAGTCTTCAACAAAATGTTCAATTTGAGCGATTCGATTTAAGCGTCTGCCTTGACACATTAACCTATATGTATGTAGCTAGGTTTCCAGGGTTCTTCGTGGATTGCTTCGAATTGAAGCCTTCAGGGCATTCTTCTTGACTGGGTTTTGTGGGTTTCGAAAATGTCTTTTTCGACCGTTCCTTGCCAATCTAAATAGTCTGCAGGAATCCTTTTCTAAAGTCATGCAAATTAATCTCTTGGCTCTAGCCAAGGACCAAATAACCTACAGAAGTGTGCGTTTACAGGTCACCTCGAAAAATATGTCATAAGAAAAACTTTGTTAATTTCCAACTGATTTTGCTCAAATTTTGCACACTATTGGGGATAGGGAGAACGCCATTTTTGACGACTCCATTTTTAAGTAGATGATTTTTTTCGACTTATGGGCCAAAAAAACCCTCCAGGAGGATGTTTCTTAGAGGATTCCTCCCAAAACAATTTCGATAGAGTAATTTTGTGAACCAGAACTCTAAAAATATTCAGACAAAAAAAAATATTAACAATATATAACAACAATATATAACAACAATATATAACAATAAATATTAAAAATATTAAAAAATATAAAAAATATTATTTCGTATATTTATTGCTATATTTTTGCTTCCGCGAGTAACACAATCGGTAATCAAATGGCTGAGATAAGTCGGTTGGAAGTTTCCCAGCATTGGGCGCTGTTGTGGTAATCATGCCAGCAAATCATTATGCCATGCACCCCTGTTAATTGATGAATTAAGGAAAAATTAAAAAAGTTGCAAAATAAAATAAATCAAACAAACGAGAGCAACAACTATTCAATAATTAAATTTATTCAATTAAAACTTAGTTAATATACAATGCACAACACTTTACAGGTTTTGGCTCTCTAAGTTCAAGACGGGCCGCAAATTCCCTCATCGGGTGAGGCACATTTAGACGAATAATTTCAAATTGTTACGAATTCGAAAAATGTGACGAAAAACTTTTTAGTGGTATCAAATTTAGAGCGGGTGGTGATGCAAATAATTGATTATCATTTTAATAGTTTTGTTTTAAACTTTCCGTTACACTTACTCTTCGCATAAGACTCTCGTTTTTTCGACTTTATTTTATTGGAGACTAGACTGAATCTTACTTTCAACTCCCTTAACAATTTTATATTTCACCATTCAAATTTCCATTTCGGATGTTAGAAACCCCCGCTTCTTTTCAAGACTTTACACACTAATTTGCCTTATAATATTTAAAAATTGACTTGCGGTACTTATTCAAATTTGAAATGCATTTATCAGATTTTTATTATCTCCAACGATCTGAAAGCCTCTAGCTAGTTTTAGCACACTGTGCATACAACTCCTCAAGACGGAGTTCTCAATTAAACTAAAATATTGATATCCGGTAGGAATTCATATTTAATAAAATATAGCTTGAAAAAGTAAATGGTTCTAATCCTAAGGTGAGGAAGTGCACTTAAAAGTACTAAACAAGCTCCCCACATCTCCGACACCCGGATAATTTTACTGCTACGCTATGTTGTATTTAGATCGCTAAATAATTCTTCATGACAAGCATACATACCAAACTCAAAAACCTATTTCCAAATACTATAAAACTTGGCATACGGACGATGGTGAAAGTGGCTGCATAAGATTAGTCAAAACAGCTTATAGCAAAACAACTAATAGCCTCCAAAAGCAGGAACCCCATAAATAATTCTGGGGTATTTGTACTGGATGCGACTAACGCATTTTATAGGTCGGATTATGCTAACCTAACGCAAATTTGACAATTCCCGCTTTATAGTCTTGACGTCGGTTCGTATTATCCGTGTTTTAAATCCTTTTCGTCCGGTTTTCTTCCCACTTTCTGTTTTCCTTCCGCTTTTTCCGTTGTGTAACTTCTCCGCCTCACTCACTTTTTTTCTTTCCCGTCAACTGAAAAATTGCGAATTCATATTTTATCCTCCTGCCTCGTATTTTTCATCGGTTGTTCAACTCCTTGCGCTTCTCCATTCAGCTTTCCACTTATTCCAACGTTTGTTAAAAACTTACCTAAAAGAAACGGGAGAGAAAAACAGGTTTCCCTTTACGCTTCAAATTTTTCAATTGATTTCTTCTACCCGCTTCAAATTTTTCGGTAGGTTTTCGATTCCCGCTTTGTATTTCTGTCTTCCATTTTGTCTCATCTTCCTTCCGGCTTCCTCTTTTTCGTCCGTTTTTCCTCCCTCGCAATTTTTTTCTGCCCGCGTCGTCTTTTTTTAGGTTGTATTTTTTTTTTAATTTTATTCCCTCTTTCCCGCTTTTTTCCTTCCCGCTTTGTATTTTTTCGCTCTTTTTTCTCCCTACTTCCCGTTTTTTCCTTCCCGCTTCGTATTCTTTCTTTAATTTTTCCACCGCTTTCCCGTTTTTTTTCCTTCCCGATTCGTATTTTTTTTCCTTAATTTTTCTCCCTCCTTCCCGCTTCATATTTTTTCGCTCGTTTTTCTCCCTCCCCGTTTATTTCCTTCCCGTTTCGTATTTTTTCGCCCTTTTTTCTTCCTCCTTCCCGTTTTTTTCCTTCCCGCTTTGTAATTTTTTTTCCTTAATTTTTTCCCTCCTTCCCGCTTCGTATTTTTTCGCCGTTTTTCTCCCTACTTCCCGTATTTTCCTTCCCGCTTCGTATTTTTTATTCTTTAATTTTTCTCTCTCCTTCCCGCTTCGTATTTTTTCGCTCTTTTTTCTCCCTCCTTCCCGTTTATTTCCTTCCCGCTTCGTATTTTTTCGCCCTTTTTTCTCCCTCCTTTCCATTTTTTCTTTCCGCTTCGTATTTTTTTCGTCAATTTTTTTTCTTCTCGTCTTTTTCCCGTTTGTTTTGGCGACAAAAAAAAATTTTGCGGCCGCCTTCGGCGCCCGCAAAATTTCCCGGTATCCTGAATACCTGGATACCAAGTTTTTTCCACCAGCGTACAGCGAAATTCGTGAAAAACTGGATTAAAATCCATATTTCTTACTTCATTTGCACTTTAGGTTTAACGTTGGAATTTTCGAACCGCAGACAACTTCACCACCAAATATTGATTAAAATTGAGGAAAAGGTCTGTTCTGAGCCCTCTATAAGTGGCAGGGTCACTAAAAAATTTATGACCCGGGAATGATACAGTTTGTCAATTAATTTGGTGCGTATTTTTGATGGAGCTTTCTCTTTCGTGACCAATTTTTCATGGTCACAGGAGAAATATATTTTCAAGTTTAATACATGTTTTCTACTTGAAATTTAACTGGCTTTTCAATGGAATAAGAATAAATTTGAAATTCCTTAAAACTAACCTAATATAGTCGTCTACTCTACTATCACTTTTTAAGTTGAGACTATGTATGTAAAACATTGACAGACTTGTGCAATTTTTTCACTTTATTTGATTTCCTATGAGTAAGTTCGTATGAGGACCTACATAAAGTTAGTTATTTAGCACGTTCTACACTGCAAAATAAGAAAATATTTCAATACATGACAACCAGCTTTTCAAAAGAGTTCCGTCATCGTTTGTCGGTGCTAATAAACTGACGCATATTATTATCTAATTTAAAAAAATTGAACATAATCCGATAAAAAGTTTGAAATTTGATAAAGGAAAATTCCAGATAGCGGAGCCATAAACATTACCAAAGCGAGTGGACATTTGCAATCTAAATACGGGCTCACTCTTAGAAATAATGTTACCATTTCGAAAAGTAAGTACAGACACGCTCGGTTCTAACAAGTTGAATTAAAAAGTCGAGAGAAAATTACAAAATTGGTTTGGAATCACATGACACGTATCTTTCCCTTGTCTGCTGAATGGCCCCCCTTAAGAATATTATTTTGGGAAATGTTCAATTTTTTTGCCAGATTTACTCTCGTTTTTCCCTCCACCGGGTGGGGGGGATGAAATCAAGTAGGGCGGGTGACTTTGCCTCCAGTATTTCTCTTCTTGGGGGACATTCAACAAAAGAGAGGTGCATGTGATTTTTAATTTTTTAATGTAACGTTAGCCAAATTTGAATGTTGTATTTTTAAAGCACCCATTAGTTATGAAATCCTAAATACACGGATTTTGAAAATTTTTTCATCAAAATCATCGTAAAGGGTTCAAAGGTTCAAATTTCGATTTCCATGACGTTTTTTAAAAAAACTGGGGTTTTAAAATTTGTTAGTATACTTATTGGTGAAGTCCTTAGTTGTGGTCTGGCATAATTTTATTTTAGTAGTTAGCAGTGACAAGTTTACTTAATATGAAGAAGTCGATACCTGCGTGACTATAAAAGTACATATGTATGTAAACTAATGAGTCTCGATTTAGCATAGTTTACTTAGCATATAATTTCATTTCGAAAGGTAACACAATATTTAAGAGTGCCCAAATTCTTGGATAAATTGCTTAATTCGCCCATTATTAAGATATCAAACCCATATCATTGCTTCAAACAAAATTCCAACCAGAGTAAATAAGTCGGAGCTCTGTCCAAGTCTCCACTTTATTCGGTACATATATCGACAACTGAAACTTGTTCAATCTATCCTCTTTATAGAAAAGACGAATAATTTTACCCCCATAATAACCATGAAGTTTGTCCTCATGATTGGAGCCGGTCTACTATTTTTGTCTCTGACAAATTGTAAGAATCGCAAAAAAATTAATATGTAATTTTGGTAATACAAACTTGATATTTTTACAATTTAATAGGTTACGTAATTCAACAGTACGACAAGCCGTTAAATAACGAGACAAACTGGGAAGCCACAGATTACGCAGGACACAATCAAACTGAACTTCTTCAAACTTTACCAATACATCAGCGTTTTCTGCATAAGCTAAATCATGCCCGGTCTAAAACCAGGGCTGGGCAAGAGCCAGAACAAGGGAAGCGTTACAACTGTAAAGGACGTATTCCAAGGTTATCAACTCGACTAATAAAAAATGCTGACGTAATTAATTGCCAACGACTTAAAATACTTTTCAGAAAGCTAAAAAGACGCTGTAAAGGGTACGATACTGAGGTACGCTTTTTTATTCAGCAGTTCGGAATTCTCTCGAATTTTAAACGAGATGTCCAAAAAATTAGTGCAAATCCGTCACGATTTCGGATTGATTACAAACTCGCGTATATTTCGGTCAGAAATCGCTGAGTTTTTATTATTAAAATTTCAAACTCCTGAAATTTTAATAAGAATGTGAAATGAAAAAAGGTGGAATTTTGCTCAGCTCGGGCTTCATTTGTAAAGGGTGTTAATAAAGTCCGATCCCATGCATTTTTTGGAGCGTGGTTGTTACAAATTCAGCTGGAACTTTTGAACCAGTGAAGTTATTTATTTCAAATTTTTACTATGGGAGGAACAACTAAACGTGTAAGTCATGAGCATCTTAGAGTTGAGATACAAACATTGCATCAGCAGGGGCTTAAACCTACAGAAATTGTGCAAAAATTGGGCTGCAGCCGCAGAACTGTTTGGAAATGGAAGAATAAAAATTTTGTCCACGACAAAAAGCGACCAGGGCGACCCAGAAAGGTGTCACCTACCACAAAAAGAATGATTAAAAACAGACTTTGCAAGAAAACCGGTAGTTCATTACGTAATTGAGCAAGGGAGTTAAATGACTCAAAACGCTATAAAGAGAAGAAGAAGCAAATTAACTGTGTGACCGTGCAAAAATTTGTGAAAACTACGAAGTGGGGTCACACAGCTTACAAACTAACCAAAAAAACCTCTCATGTCACAAAAATATATCGATGACCGTCTGAAATTTGAAGAACTCCTTCAGAAAAGTGCCCATTTGAGTGAAAAAAGACTTGGTGAAGAATTGCGCAGTCACATCCTTTGGACTGACGAATCTATTATTGAACTATATCCAAAATTGAACCAACAAAATGTTCATTACAGGACAGAAAACAAATCGGATGTACCATCAAGAGCGATCCCAAAATTCGGGCTTAAAGTTATGGTAGCGGGTGGATTTTGTGCACGTTGCGTGACCCCTCTACATATCATACCAAAAGGCAAATCAGTCAATGCAAAGCATTATATGGAAAAAATATTACCTATCTATTTCGATAGCATGGGGAACAAGGAAATATTTCCGAATGAAAGAAAAATAGTTTTCATGCAGGATGGTGCTATAGCCCATACAGCAAAAGCGAGTTTGAGTCTCATCAAGACGCAAGTTTCAACGGTCTGGAGCAAGGGGGTGTGGGCCGCTAACGGCCCAGATTTGAATCCCCTGAAGAACCAGTGGTCCATACTTAAGGAAAATGTATACAAAGAGCCACAACCCCGGACGAGGGAAGAGCTAGTAAAAAAAAGTTCAAGATGTATGGAATTCGATTTCCAGAGGCACATTGGAAAAATTAGCACAGAGCCTTAAACAAAGAGTTGAGGGCATGGTTAAAGTAAATGGTAACAAGACCAAATACTAAGGTAAATATGTCGAACATTTTTTGTAAGTATCACGGGTAGTTTTTTTATACTAGCCTTCACTTTTTTACAGGAAAAATGGGATCGGACTTTATTAACACCCTGTATATGTATCTATTTAATTAATTCGTCTCACGACTTATCTCCTAAAGGAACAACTTCTCACCAAATCTGTCGATCTTGCCGAAACCATATTAGAAAAGTTGTACAGAGTCAGAATTAACAAACAAGTAAATATTTCTAACATATCTACTCGTAAAATTTGAACCAACCCAAATTTGAACATACTTATCTAATTGTATTCAATGATAAGGTACTTACCGATAAAGACAAGAAAACCATGCGTCTTGAAACCGTTGCCGTTGCGGTCGATGACGACTTCAATGTCTACGTTGCAGCCAACTTAAAATCCAAGATGGATAACCATGAAAAATCTACACGTTTGAAAACGTTGAAACAACAAGAAAGAAAAAGATTGGAAAAGCGGGGTTTTACTGACCCTGACGAAATAGATCGGCGTATTCAACAATACGGGAGAGAAATCGAATCTGATCAGCTTTATTACACGAAAGACCATGGAATACAGGAAAGCGAGTATGGTACGATCTACAAAACGATTGAAGAGGTATTAGAAAAGTTGGGCTAGGGTAAATTTGTGTGATTGTAAGCGTAACTTGAATTGTAGATGGATCATGCGTTATATTTTAAGGTTCCCATGGATGACGCATTGGCGCGTAATCTCACTCGGCCCCTATTCAAATTCATTTTCTAAAATTTCATCAACTCCGTGAGTTTTGAGAGAAATGAAATCTACGATATTTCAATGTAAAACTAATTTTTGGTAGTACAAACAAGTCGATTTGGAAAAAATTTCCGACATCATTTGTGACGAAGTTTAGTATGAAAAAAATGCAAGCCAATTAGCTATTTTTTCCAAATTTTCAATTTTTGAAATTGCGTTTGAATACATTGGATAGGGGCAGAGTGAGATTACGCGCCAACGCGTCATCCATGGGAACCTTAACAATATTTATGAACACATATATATACAATGAGATCGGGTTGTTTCATGCTAGAACGATTTTCAAGCTTGATAGCTTCATTCACGATTTTTATTTAGGCCGGATTTCCATACAAGTCTGTAGTTATTGTTGAGACTGAGAAAGCATTCGACAACAAGATGGATAATGCTAAGCCACACGCTGAAATGAAACTGCTTAAATGTTTGGAAACTAGCCACAAAGGGAAGTCCTTCCTTACTGTAGCACCATCTAAAGGGGCGTGTCATCTTTGCGGCGGCGAACTGGGCAAGAGACAAGTTCCAACCAATGAAGAAGGATCAAACACAGGCGTCCCACCTGACAGGTGGCATGCTCCGTCGGTAATACCGACCTTGAAGGCGGTCGGGTATAGCAATACGGTTAGTCAGTAATACATAATTATTATGTCGTAAAGTTGAAAGTTCTCAGATTAACTAATATGCACATATTCATTTTTTAACATATACGGGGTCGCAAACAAGCCCCCCGGAGGTGTTAGTAAGGATAAAACAAGTCAATAATTGGTGAAAAGATATTAATAAAATAAGTTATGGGGGGGATTCAGTTTTTATGAGTTATGTATTTACTATGCTTAAGAAGTTTTAACACAATCCAATATTAAGCTAGAAATTGAATCCGATATAATTTAATAATTTTGTAGAAAAAATGATGCATTTTTAATGGATTAACCATAGAGTGAATTTCAATTCCTCCATAATTGACTTTGTTAATCCAATTGGCAAAGTTGTGGGGAGATGCTTAAGACGATCCCAAATAATTTTTGGTTGGAGATCCCTTCGTCGTTTCATAAACTCCGACAATTTTGTTGGGTAATGCGGAAGCTCATCAACCACGTTGTTCTAGGATTGGGAATAGAAGATGTCCTTTATCTACATATGTACCTTAGGTAAGGCAGGTCTTCCCAATCCAAAGGTGAAAGGTAAAGCGGACTGAAATGCAACTTCCCCGTCTCCAGTTGCAGTTTTGCAAAAAACTTTTACGGCTACACGACATGAGGTTTCTAAATCGTGCACAATTTGTATAACGGGGCAAAAACAAAGTATCACTATGCAACAATTGCCAGGGATACAAGGCATTATTTAACAGCTCATAATTGGCATGCGCGGCACCTTGCTCCCCTTACACACCTCAGTTGTAACTGCTTTCATTAATGGGTCGTACACATCTGCGCAGAACTCTGTAGGACGAAATTATGCATATGTATTGTATTATACGGTACTTAAAGAGCCAACTTATCTGGATTAAAATTACTCATATTACAGACCTGTGAGTTTGCAATCTAACGATACCGAATTTACTGATGATTTCCTTGTGTCCACTAGAACTTGATTCATAGACAGTGCTCCACATTTCCATTCAACTTCCAACAGGGAATGTACATTTATGAATGCGTGATTTCTTGCCTTTTCGTTAGAATTATCAAAGGGTGGTAGTTGGGGGACATTTAAGGGGAAACTAATGCTTCGTCCTGGGTCCGAAAAGTGAGCTGAGTCAAATTGTTGTTCACATCGAGGCACCATGCGTGTGAAAAATGAATGCATTTTCCCCTGCTGGTCCTTCCAACGCGCCCTCATCTCTGGATGTTTTGGTCGTTCAGTGACCATTCCACTCGGAGACTGCTGCAATTATTATCAATGTCGTGATTCTTGATCTTTTGAAGTCCAAAGTTGATAACACTTTTGGCTTTGGGAAAACTTAGTGAAGTTTCAGCTACATACATATATTTGTAGCAACTATATTTTTTCTGTTTATTCGTTTCATAATCTTCTCGTGTTCCATTGGTGGATGTAATGGTATGAGTTCCAACTCCCATCGATTATCCAGTCGTTTCTTACCTTTCATTTCGCAGATCCATTTGTTGTATTATGATTTTTATTTCTCCTTTCACAATTATAAATACTCTTTAGAACACTTCCTTGCCCCATTCGTCATCCCTGTATTGACTAGAATCCAGCGCCCGATCTTGGAAATTGGTAACCGGGGCAAGATCGCGACGGCGCCCCTGTGATGCATTTATATAAGTAGGATATATGTATGAATTTTGATTGCTTATTTTGCAAATACTTTTCCGACATAATTTAGCTTATCTAGGTTTTCTTCTCTAATTCGTATTTAATAATAATAAATAATGCATCTATATTTGTATATATTATACCAACAACTAACAATGCAAGTCTTTTACGTGTACAACTCAGATCTTCATGAGAACAATTTGAATTTGTTCACAAAATTCGAATTTGAATTTCGAATTCAAATTCGAATTTGTTGACAGTTTTCCAGCCAAAACCTAGGTTTATAAAATTCTGGACTTTTCGATTTTTATCGCAAATTACAATATTTTCAAACATGTTTCACCAGAATGACTTACCTGTCTTACAAAAAACCCACCTGTCTGGAAATTCGAACTTCAGAATTTTTACCAAGTTGAAATTGGTTAACCTTATAAATTCTATCAATTGTTTTAAACATATTGCATGCGGATTTTTTATACATTACACATAACTCATTCTGAAGGGACATGTTTCCGAATTTTTAGATTGGGAAACTAAAATTTGAAAATTTACAGGACTTTTTAAAACTGGAGTTTTGACTGGGAAACGGTTCAAAAGTTGCTCTTCGTGATCAAATTAGCGCATGAGGAAAAATGTACAAATACGGGTTTACGGGCAGACTTGAGTTTTACACGTAAAAGATCAGCTTTGTAAGTCGGTTTGGAAACCGCCAAATAATTTGCTTGGTTTAATGGTCAAGCTTAGGAACACAGCAGATTATCTGCCCACTTTGGTTAAAAAAATAATAAATAGCTTGTGGAATTTTCAGCACCCTCCCATTTTTAAATTATTTCCCAGGAACACAAATTATTGTATTATGCTCAGAAAAATTTTTGAGATAAAAAATACATTTTTAAAACTTTTTCACTTTCTAAACCTGGACAATGAAATGAAAATGGATTATTTTGGAACTTCGCATCTGATATGCCTTTCAATGGCATGAATGCCAAATGATGTATTATGGATTATAGTCTAGTAATTGAGCTAGTCATAAATTCAGTCTCAAATTTTTGAAGACTAATCTATTTCAATATCTTTATGAACAAAAACTCTTTGGGCGCCTGACGGCGCCCTGGGCAATTGCCCCGGTTGCCCTCCCCAATTTCGGGGCATGCTAGAATGCAAATTAAAGAATAAATTAATAGTCCTGTGTAACACAGGCCGTGTTACACTCTATTAGGTTTGCACTTTCAATGTTGCGAAATCTCTTTCAAAACAGTGACATCCCCATCCGAAGTGATTACAAATGCTGCAAGACGTACTCAATCCTATCATAACGACCGAGAATACAGTACCGGATGTTGTAATTAACACGCCACATATGACCAGCAGTTTCCCAGCAATTCAGTTTCAGGAATCAGAAGACGGGGATTAATCTTTGCATGCAGATGTAAACACAAAATGCATGAATAATAAAAGTAATGGATTGTTTTTCTACTGGGAAGGAGATGAACGGGTGGGAAGTGTGTAGTGCAATCAATGTGAAAGCCAAAATGGACACTTATTTGTCGATTTGTTGCTTTCAGATAAGACCATCTATGTCCAACCACGTCGTGGAAGAGATAAAAAATGAACTAACCACATATTAGTAGGCTATTCCACAACAAATGCATCACAATACCTTAAAGGAGTGTGAAGCATAGCTGTATTGCTCATTGGGACGGTACGCACGACGATAGGGGTTGTGGAATTAGGTAATAATGAGTCAGTCAAGCCTACAATAAACCGTAGTAACGTTAGAAGCAGCTCGTCCTGTAATACTTCAGTGACAACGTAAGTTGGCACATACATATGTACAATTCTGCACCGATGGTGCAAAATAAATATCCAAAAAAATGCATGATTTTAATAGATGCTTACACCCGTTGTAGAAAATAATCTGACAAAATAGACGCATAATTATCGTGGGGTTTTGCACCAATGGTGGAGAATAAGCGGGGAAAATACACCCAGAAATTTGACATGATTTCGACTATTTAAGACCCCCCTCGTGGGGTTGTATTTCTGTCGGTTATTCTGCACTTTTGCTGCGTATTGAATCAATTCTCCCAATTGTTTGGCAACATTTTGTGTTATCGCTTGCTCGATACGAATGGTGCTCGATATGAATTTCCTAAAAATTGGACATGGGCCTATTTAATTAGCATCAATTGATGCAAAAAACTCATTAACAGACAGACGGACAGACGGACATTAGGAATTCAATAGCTCTCATGCTACGCAGGACGAGCTAATAATTCACATCAGCTAATACTATACTCGCGATAAATGGGGTGCATTTTGTTTGACTAGGTTTTTTTAAAAACCGGAGATATGGATTACAATCCGGACGAAGCATACATCGTTAACGTGTACATGAGGAGTAGAAGTAGAGTTATGATCTTCAAAATGGGTTTAAGAGGTATTTTTATACCATCACTCATAATATGAATAAAATGGGGGCCGATTTCCAAATTCAAAAATGGAACTCGAATATCCGTGGCGAAATCCACTGACCTGAGCGAAAAGCACCGACCTGGGCGAAGCGCACTGACCGCTCGTGTCCTGCTGAGGTCAAGGGCACGAGGTGAAGCACGAAGACACACGGTGCGTGTCATACGAGACTGCGAAAATCGTTTGAAAATGCGAACATCCATGCGATTATGCAGAAGTCATGCAGTAATGCGCTTGACAAGTGATAATGCACTATATGTAAGCGATGTATGTATGTGTCGCGACATGCGACATGTTCAAGACATACAAATTCATGCTGGTGTCATACGATATGTTTGCTTAGGAAGTACATGTCCAATATGTGTGTCTAACATATTGACAATGTGCTCGCGGTGCGAGTATTATTACATTTAGATGAGCCGAGCAAAGTAATGCTCAAACTCTGCAATGAGCAAACCCAGGATTTGCTAACTTGCAAACTTTCGCAGACTTGCTGTTTAAAAAAGGTACTTAGATTCTTCGTAGAATGAATACTAATGAGTCTAATCTGGTGTTAGAATACTTGTCTGGAAAAAGAAGGGGCTGCTCCATTTTTTTCTCCTGCAGCTCCACTGTCTCGTCTCAACAGCAGCAGCAGCAGCAGCAAGGCTTAAATGGGATAGAAATTATGATGAAAGGTATGAGCGTCTCAGTTTTTGTCTCATTTTTCTTCTCTTTTTTCATATCCTACTTTTCATTGAGATTTTACACTACTCACATTGTTTTTTGCTCGGTTACATTGCAGAACACCAGCAGCAGCGCTTGGATTTGCGTCTCCCAATGAAGGAAACATGCCAGATTTTCAAATCGGATGGACAGGTTCCGGTTTATTTTTTTCGTGGGTTCTTCTTGAGTGGACCACCACCACGGTTTGTCAAGGAAGTCGCAACGAACAAGAAGGGGCTTAAAAGAGGGAATAACTCTTGTGATAAGGAAGAAGTTCACTTACTACCAAAGAAAGTGAGAAAGAAGTACAAAGATTGGATGTAAAACCCATTGGATTTGAACTGGATTTGGTTGATGATGTAGTAATTTCCATTTAATTGATATTATTTATGTATCCTGAATTATGCTTAATTTATTCATAATTCGTATAAAATCATATAGTGGAAGGTCTGATTTTGTTAATCTACTTTTATGGATTTTACGTGTTTTTTGTTGTTCAAAATTTCTAATATGTAGCGCAATATAAAATATTTTATAAACAAAAAATAAATTTTTTGTGGAAGCAAAAGAGAAAGAGTTCTTATGATTATTTTTCATTATATTGAAAGTTCATAATTTCACTAAAATATATAATATTAACTTTATGGGGAATCAGAAATTATGGGAAATCTAATGGAAAGAAGAACCCACGTAAAAAAATAGTCCGGAACTTGTCCATCCGATTTGAAAATCCGGCGTGTCTCCTCCATTGGGGGAGGCAAATCCAATCACTGCTGGTGTCCTGTAATGCAGCCGATGAAAAAACAATGTAGTGTAAAATCTTAATGAAAAGTAGGATATCAAACAAGAGAAGAAAAATTGAGACAAAAACCGATACGCTCATACCTCTCATCGTCATTTCTATCCAATTTTTGTCTTGCTGCTGCCGCTGCTTCAGTTGGGGCGAGACGTAGGAGCTGTAGGATAAAAAATTGGAGCCCAGTACTTCCCTTTTCCCAGACTGGTGGTGAATACCGTGTAGAATTGGACACTTTTGTTGTATCCTCGTTGCTACATAGATGTTGAAGGATGTGGCTATGTAATCTTCTTCTGTTTTTATGTAGATCCGATCCAACCGGTATCAATTCGTTCGTCATCAATCGTTTGCATGACTAGGGGTCACAATAACTTGGAAATGCAAACCACGGTTTAGTGCAAACCATGCAAAGATAATGGAATTATGCTATATAAAGATGGCGATTCATTTGACAACAGTAAATGTGATCTCAGCGTCGCTTGTGTTGCAAATTTTGATTTGCACAGCAGTGGACCTCACACGATTCGAAGTATACCGTGGAATTGTAGTAAAGACAAACTAAAACACTCTTTGCTTACCGCATGGATCCTTAACAATGAAGCAATGCATAAGAATAAAGATGAAACAATGAAAATAAAGAAAGAATATGATGAGATATAAACAAGTAGAATAGGGAATGAAGAGCTTAAAGAGAATAGAAGTGCAATAAAATGGTCGAAGAAAAATTATGAGGATTCACGAGCTTCGTTAGTCAACAATAATGATGTGTACACTCTTGTAATGAGATCAGAAATCCAGTGCCCTATGAAGGGGTTCAGGGCCCATGATGGGGATAACAGTCCTTCTATGGCATCAGGCGTCAGTTCCGCAACCCGGTGAAAATCAAGCAAGCGGCTTGCTTGATTTTCCTCCTTGGGCTTGTAGCAAGCCCAACGAGCTGTCTCAGTCCCCCCAAAATTCGTGAGATCAATTAAAAAGAAATTTACCACAAACACTTATGAGTCTGAATCAGACTACGAAGTAGAGGAACCTTGTCCCTCTACTTCACCAAAATGGGAATAATCTCTGCTTCGAGGACCATTCCATACAGAATTCAAGTGAAAGTGATGACATGCAATCGGTGTCACCTACCGCAGGTGCAGGTCATTAGACACCGAGGGATAAAGAAGCAGGATACAAGAAAAGGAGACAGGTAATATTTTTTACTCATTCTGTTATTAAATTAATAGTTTATTATAATTATTAATATATGAAAATTGATATAACAAAAATGTAATTCCATTATTTTAAAATAATCTTAGGCGTACTGAAGGCTACAAGCCACTGCCTTATGAAAATAATCCTGAGCAACGCACGCAGAAATTAGCAGACGGGGTAAGGAACTTGCGGTGAATTAAACTAAGTTATTGGTTGTTATAATTCCATTTCACATGAGATTTCTATTTGTCCATTTTCAATGTCCCTAATCTCTTCCTCTACTAATCCATTAATCTCTAGATTTCCTCAGTTTTTGTTACCTCGGATAGAGCTCTGCTATAATAAGGTTGAATTGGAATATGAAGAGATTTGATTTTTACCCTCAATGCTTACTTAAAAAACTTTGGTTTCATAGATGTTTGTTCCGTTGTGGAAACGGCGAAATTGGGATAATGTAGCATCTCCTTCCTTCGGCGTAAAACTTCTAGAAAGTACTTTTGTTTGCTGCGCAAATGTGTACGAACACTAAAAATCTGACATTGACGGGTTCCATTGAGATTGAGATTGAGTCACAATTTTGTTCCAATAAGCACCATTTTCAAATAATTTTCCTCGCCTCAAGAATTCCCTGGATAGATCCTGAATTTGCTGCTGTGAATCGTCTCCCTTTATACGTAGTCTTTGCTTCGTTTGCTATCGTTTTCAAATTCTGAAATAAACATTTTTAGACAATTTAAGACACATCAGAGGCTCAAGCCTACTTAAAAATCCAGTACACAAATACAAGGAACCGCTTATTTGCGTACAATACTGGAGATGATTTTGGAATGGCCGGAGATAACCCACCAGTTCTAGCGGAAGAAATGAAAGACCAACCAGCACAACCCTTGCGAACCCTGCATTGTCTCGTTTCTCTTCTGGTGTCAAATGGGAATGTGTAGGGAAGGCCGTTTGTCACGAACACCATCCTAAAATATGTACTGACCATACTTATTGTTTAGCGCGTATTATCTAGTAGAAATTTCTTAACAATTTAACGTACCACTTCCGGTCGAGATTATTTTGTTAGACCGTGAGCAAATCTGACCCAACATCTTTTCACGTTCACTTCAAAATTAGGATTGATAGGGCGACAGCCTTGATCAAAATACCTCACATTCACTGCTGTTGTAATGCATTTGGTCGTAATCAAATGCATAGGCGTTAGTGGAGAAGTGTCGGAACTTTCTCATAATGTTGGTAAATTCCTCGTTATCAGCTGCATACTGACTTATAATTAGTGGAAGTTCTTTTGCGGCAAACTAATTCTTCTCCCCTAGCGTAGACTTTAGAATTCGTTACCTGTAACCACACTTTGAGGAATTTCCCATCCCCACGAAATATGTTCTGCCGGCCAATTACTTGGTTGTCGTCATACACGACAATAATGACCTCGAAGGGAAATGTGAGGACCTTTGACCCAAGCAGTTTTCTTCTCGATTTTATAGATTAATACCCTAATTAATTGTACAGCACAAGATTTTCGGCTTGACAAATCGGGGAGAAATGCTTCATGCCTTGGCAGAGCCGTACCGTGAAATCTTCAGGCCTGGTATGAGCTTTAGTGCCGGGCCCTTTCATAAGTTCAATATATCCAATACTACGTAATAGTTCTCGCTCAAGAATACTAATAGTATTTTAAAACGAAATAATATTCTACGCATTAAGAGCATATTTACGATTTCCCCAGTTCCACCTTAGTGACAATTTACTAGCACTTTTAACTCAGAAATATTTTTGACGACATCGGCGGGACGGAGAAAATTCAATTACCTATAAACACCTAAGTCAAAGTTTACATAAATATTCGAATACGGCGAACTTTTCGCTTACTTCCCAAAGCCTCCCAAAACCTTTTCGATTAATTATTTTTCTGTCCGTCTTAAAAGCTTGAAAAATTTGGAATTTGTGAAAATGCAGGTCCGAAAATTCAATTCCATTTAAATCTTAAAACACGCATTTTATATTGAATTTTGGTACAAATTCAAAAACATACAATATTTTGAAAACCCAATGCCGTGGCTGAAAACCGCTTTTAAGATTGAACCAAGCGGTAAGAATAGAAATATACAATTGTACACATTTGTGCCTGAAGCCGTCAAACTACAGTCTGACTAACAATCCCATGACGCCAGCGGTTTCGCTCCGATTTTGACGAAATAACCATAATTATGCAACCGTAGACAAATAATTGAACACGTGTTTCAAGATTTTTCATAATGCATAGCTTAAATGAAATTATGACGGAATCCGTGAGCGCGAATTTCCATTCTTACCGTGAAATGTTTCTCGCGAGGGAGAAAAATACAGATTCTCGCCTACGAATTCCATCAGAATTTAGTTTAAAGTTAAAAGGCGTGGGCATGAATAGTTTTCCTCAAATTTTGACCGACAAATTTTAAATTGCTCACACCAGGAAATAAGCGGACTTTTATTTTTGCACATATTTTGCTGCATAGCCCGTTTCCGTCTGCGAGGAAATTTTAGAATACATTTTCAGCCATATTTTGATTTTTCAAAGTGATAAATTTTAATCTTATTTAAAAAATGAAAGAACATTTTTGCACGGAATTACATTGAGTTTAAGAGACTTCCACATTTCAAAAACCTAATTTTTCGAATTTTCTGACCTGTACATTTTTTCAAAATTCTGAAATAGTATAAAATTTCGAACGTTAAAGTTTTTGGAAAACCAGTTTTTATAATTTATGGAAGTAATTTTTGAGATGTTCTTTCATTTTTGAAATAGCGTTAAAATTAGAAAATCAACAGCTTTTTGAAAAATCTTGATTTGGAAAGTTCAGGAAAACAAAAATTACGGGTCGGGTTATTTCGGTGTGTGAAAAATTGGTCGGGTCAAAATTTGAGGAAGCCACTTCATGCCCACGTATTTTAAGCTTAAAGGAAGTTATGATGGAATTCCTATGCGAGAATCTGCATTTTTCTCCCTCGTTATAAAAACTTCACCGTAAAAATGGCAATTCTCGCTCACGGATTCTGTCATAATTTCATTTTTATGAAAAATCCTGAAACACGTCCCGAATTATTTCTCTAAGGTCACATAATTATCGTGGTTTCGTTAAAATCCGAGCGGGACATTTGGCGTCAGTTAAGGGTCCTCAGTGTGTATCTAAATAAGTTTGTCCCTGGGTTAAGGTAAATTTGCCCCGTAGCAAGGCATATTTGAAGTTGTCAAAAAGCACCTTTGCTTCTTTCACGTTGAATTTTTGTATATTTTCGGTCCAAAGAAATTAAGAATGTACCAACTCTTTACATACACAAAATTCCT